AACTTCTCTGAGAAAATGAATTATCAAAGCAGAAAAAAGGTATATACAAAATGTGACAGTTTTATACAAAATATTTTAAAATAGTTATTACTTTTTTTTCACAAATATATTTAAAAAAAATCAGTTAATAGTTATATTATAAAAGATAAAATGAGAATAAAAATTGTGTATACAAAAAAAATATCCTCGTTATATATATATATATATATGTGTGTGTGTGTGTAGATAAGTTAATATATAACAGAAAAATATGGGAATAATAAAAAGTACCTAAATGTTAAGGTAGAAATTACGAATATAATAAAGAAAAAACAAGAAATATAATAAAGAAAAAAAATATATGACAGTTTTATTTAAAATTTGTAACATCACAAATATACAACATTTAACTATATAATAGAATAATCACACTTCATAATAATTCAGTACAGTTTTTCAATAAAAGAACGAACGCTCAAAGCCGAACGTCCTTACTAAAGAGTTACAAAATAAAATCGAACGTAAGTAGTACCTGACCGAACGGTTTACAGGAGAAAATACCGAACGGTCGAACATAAAAAAAGAAACGGATAAGGTGGTCGAACGACCACTCTATCAACCACCTATACTACTAGCCGAACGTCTCATTGTTCGGTCTTCATCTCAACTTCTACCAAGTTCTCTTCGTCCAGCACATCTTCCAGCCGCTCGTCTCCCTCTGCTCACATCCACACGGATGATCATTGCAACGACAGGACGAACATACAAAACGAGACAACACAAGGAAAAACGCAGGGTAAGCTTATGTAATTTAACTCATGCATCAACATATAGGTTAAACAATTAAACACACAAGCACATTTCAACGCACGTAACATATCAAGCCTATCACTAGACTGACCGTCCAGACTGTATGAACTTCGTGTAGCTACGACGTTTCTTGCACCCAGGTGGTGTAGCTGGAATTCTCATCAGCTGCCACCCGAGGTTAGTCCGTTCCGTCCAAAGTACCCCTAAGGACTAGGACCTCCTGCCGTTCCCACACATGACATACCCCCTCTACGTGAGGACGAGTACTCACGGAACATCAGGATGAACCGCCAGCCAAGCTTACCACATTCATACTTTACAATCTCAATAATCATCCAAGAGTCGTTCCTACCCGGAATGCTCGTTCAAAAGTCACAACGTTTCTTTCATCTCATATACACTTCATCATTTATTATCCATCATTCCATATTCATTTTTATCATCCATAGGAAGACCATCAAATACCGAACGTTCTGTCCCCACTGAGGACGAGGACGAACACTGTGGACGGGACCAAGAAGGCGCCCGTTCTAGATCAGAGTACGAACGACAGAGTTACGATTACGTTCGGGAATAACCGAGTAATGTCCTTTTTCATTGGACGAACGTTATTTACCATGAGAATCAGTTGAATGAACTGACTCTCGTGAATTCAAACCAATACTCCGAGAATAATTTAAGTGTAGAAGCCCTAGGCCGAATACATCGAATGTAGACATCTCAAGACGTTAACGAAGCATATTTAGAATAGTTCTTATACTGAAATCCACTGCCAGTCAATGACCGAACATGGTAAAGGAAAGTTCTTCTGAAGTTGGACGCACGCTATTTCATTAAGACTAATTTTACAAGAATGAGTACGAGCGCTCAGTATAAGACCGAGCACCACTTAGAGCGAGCGCTAGGTGTAAGACCGAGCACTACTCAATACGAGCACTACTCAATACGAGCGCTAGGTGTGAGACCGAGCACTACTCAGTACGAGCACTAGGTGTGAGACCGAGCACTACTCAGTACGAGCGCTAGGTGTGAGACCGAGCACTACTCAGTACGAGCGCTAGGTGTGAGACCGAGCACTACTCAGTACGAGCGCTAGGTGTGAGACCGAGCACTA